GCACGGCGGTTTTCTGCATTCCTTATGGGGTAGAAATAAGGATGGGCCTGCATAAATTATAGATAATATTCAAAGTACGATTTTTTTAAAAAAAAATCCCAATAGAACTGAGAGAATTGGGAGCATAAGAGCATTTTGTAGTTTGAATCGGAATTCATGGAAAACTTGAATTTTGCTTTCGCTATTTCTCGATGAATACACGCTAAATATTATTCTGCTTTAAGTTATTCACAGAGAGTGAACAGAGTATGGAGATTATACCATTGCCTCTTTTGCAGTAGGCCTTTCTTGATGATCATATCTCAACAATTTGTCGAGAAAATCAACTGCCTTTGGAATGGAAGGAGGAGAAAGAACAAAAATTATGAATTTCAATCTTAATCAAAAACTCCATCGGAAGTCTTTCGAGTTTTCAATTGGTTACCTCAGGAACAGCCAAATGTTGATTATCAGCGTTAATGAACTTTGTCCATGGTTTTCTGCTATGCCTGAATTAACCAGTTGTAAAGAAAATAGTTATTAAGAAGAAGGAAAATATTGTGATACGAGACAATACTTCCAAAAAAAGGAGAAAATAGCTCCGTGAAAAACCTTCCAACAAGGGCAGTAAAATTCTGGTCCAATTCCAAACGATACCTACTCAAATAAGCATTCAACTCGTCTGTTCCCAGTACCTATCATCCATAAAATATTTTGGTTAACTGCACCTTTTACCTATCATCCATTAAATATTTGGGTCAACTTTTTCAAAATACATAGTGCAGGAAAAACAAACTTGCATAAAAGCGCACACACAGGCAGCTATGCATGAAAATATTATTTGCATTATACTTAAGATTTATTTTTCAGCCCAGAAAAAAAAGAGGGAGCTGGAAGCAAGAAAGTCAATTTTCTAAAGAGTAAAGGCCATCCAATAAAGCATCCGAAATGCAAGCTCAGATTGCATGATGCATATATTTGACAATACAAAAATTCAAACAGAAGCATCAAGTAGTTCTTTGAAATGGCATGTCCAAGCATATATACCTTTGCAATCTTGACTAGTTGATCATAATTATCATGCCCGTAAAAGAAAGGCTCCTTGCGAAATATCTGTACAGCATAGATCACATGAGGATCAGAATGGAAAAATAACACAAGCATGTATAAATGAAAAATTCATCTTGAACATTATCCATCATCTATAGTTATTTGCCAAAGCTGATAGTGATCTAATCATCTTTTACTTCACGAAAATAATCCTCTACATTAAACAAAAATGAAACCAATCTTTTACATTTCTAGGTACGTCAATAAAGTGCCCTTGAGTTTCATGAGAGAGTCCGTGAAATAATATTCCAAGGTTCACTTGTAATAATCGAATCTGGTGAAATGTATATGTATAGCAGAAGTAAAGGACATCATACCATTCCAGCAAACATGCATCCCAAGCTCCATAAGTCCAAGGAGTAATCATAATCTTGCAAATCAACAAGAAGTTCGGGGCCCTTAAAATATCTGCACATGACATGCCACCAAACTTAATATTGGGATACAGTTGAGCCAACAGCTAGAAGCAATAGAGCCAACCTAACAGGTAAATATAAGTATTAATCCAACAACAGATTTAGAAAGTTATGGCCAATCTTTCTTAGAAACCAGATAAGAGCTTCATTAATCTATGGAGCCCTATTGCTGATTTGGATATCATCCATGCATTACATAGTTAGGTGAGTCATATAATACTGAGTTCGAGATGATGATTGCCAAATCAGCAATAGTACTCCAGAACAGAGTCTTATCTAGTTTTTAGAAAATTCCAACTTGGCAGGCTTAAAAAAGAGTGTGCTACTTTCAAAAATTGAATACGTGCGGCTCATAACTCGAAGAATTATGGATAAGGGCACTTGCAAACTATTAGCCCAGTGGTGCTCTTCCAAAAAGTGTAGCAGATCTCAACTAACTTATGTATTTGCATATTGCCACTTTAATACTGAAACCATATTAGCTATGAACACAAACATAAGAATAGCTTCTGTCAATGAACCCACAGTCAACACATCCTTATTTGACTATCTAACAATGTTATAGTCATTGAAGTCCAGAACAGCAATCTTCTCCACTCTCTATAAAAGTCCTACAAGCAATAACAATGTGAACTCCGAAGTTCAACGCAACAAGTTAAAGAACCAACATGTCTCGGATGCAGAAACTGTAACGAAGAAACTAAAATGAAAAGATGCAGTTACAACTAAGAGGGGTGCCAGACCTAGAAGCTACACGAACATTATACTCTCTTCCAGGATGATAGAACTCCGCAAGCCCCCAATCTATCAGGCGAAGTTTACGCTGCTCGTGGTCTATTGCGATATTGTGAGGCTTCACATCTCTATGCATGATACCTTGAGAATGGCAGTAGTCTAAAGCCTACACGCAAAAATGAAGAAGAACATTTGATATTTCTAAATTAGAAAACTAATAACACATCATCGCATGAGAATAAGTAGAGGCTAGAGAGGAGCACAACTTGGGGTACGGGCAAATGGGCTGGTAACACAAAAACTACGAATTTATAACAAACAAATAAAACAAAATGCATTGGTCTTTAACTTTAAGCTACTTGATCCTTGAGAAAGAAAACAAATCAAGTCAATTACAAGCTTGCCGAGCTCCAACCGTTATTTAGTTAGTGAATCCAATGCAATCATATGTGACCAAAGGCCAGGCTCAGGCAATGCTAGCAAAATGTTGTTCATCAGCTAATATTTTCTAGAGAGATTAACAGACATTAAAAATGCATAGCATGTAGCGATGAACCAAAGTAAATCAATCAGAGCATATTATACTGGAAATGTGTTCCTTTAATAGAAAAAGTATCCTTCTGAATCCAGGTAAGCATGACAATAACTATTATAAGTGGTTCCCAGCAGGCTAAAATATATTACCAAATCACAAGAAACAGGATATTTGAAAAACCACAGATGCAAGAAATTTGATGGCTGATAAAAGCACGAGGCTTGCCTTCAGAAGTTCATAGATGTAATATCTAATGTCAAAGTCCGAAAGTGTGGGATACAGCACTCTAAAGTCTGTATTATTCACATACTCAAAGACAAGACTTGGAGTCTTTGATTGTTCATCCCTTACGATGTCAAGCAACTTCACAATATTTGGCCCGCCACATAGATTCTGCAAAATCTTAATCTCCCTCCTTATCTGCAAAAGCACAGAAATATTTATAGTAAGCCCTTCACTATTTCGAAGTCCTAAGAAGTCTAGAAATTTTTTTTGTAGAAGACAAAAGGTGCACGGTGCACCAAGGCACCTCACACAAGCTTCAATCATATATAGTATTATAGATAATAATATTTCACGTTCCGAGCGTTTACTTAAGACCCCACAAAAAGCTTTGGAAAGCTTTATTTTGAACTTTCTCCTACAACTGAAGATATAAAATCACGAGAAAATATAACCATTCACAAAAAGCAAAAATACTTAAAAGGCATCCCTGTAATATGTATGCTTAAGCCTAGCCAACACTCATTGAACTGAATAGTAAAACAGCGAAAACAATTTTAAACTGGCCCGTTGGCTAACATGCCATCACATGCACCAATCTGAATTAGAGCCTCCAATGTTCTTTAAAAACTTTGTCTACGGCCACCCTATATATAGCAATGTCTATTACATCAACCAATAGGAATTGAGCTCACAACGTAATGGTCCTGGAGCATCCACAAGAGATCATCCTAAACAAAATCTATCAATATTTATTTGAAATACAATATTGGCAGTATACATAATAGCAGTCCTGTATATCAAATATTCTTTTAATAGTGCATAAATTCTTAAAAGTTCTTTAACACAAAGATAGCACAGAAGAGACTGGAGATTAACTTTTGAAAAGTTATTTCATTACTTCAGCAAACCAAAAGGGCAAGAGGAATGCATACATAAGCATAAAGAAACAAAGCTTCAGAAAATCTCATCACACAAACAAGGAATGCACAACATAGTTGAAAAGTAGAAAAATCTTGATTCCTAATCAAGTCCCCTTCACCTTCAAAAACTTCCTCTCTGATCCCTCAAACCAATCACTTATTTCAATACGCTGCCCAACAATCCTAAGTAGATTGCTCAAAAAACAAGAAAATACAACACAATTCTAAGAACTAGAAGAAACCTTTTTCTTCTTTACAGGTTTAAGAATCTTGATAATGCATTTCTCGTTGTCGGTAGTGTGAATGCCTTCGAAAACCTCGCTGTATTTGCCCCGACCCACCTTCTTCACCACCTCATAATCATCCTGCTCCCTGATATCAGCAATCAAAGGCAGAACCCGATTACATAATAGAACATATAGATAAATGAAGAAACAATTAACAGAAAACCCCAATCTAATTACCCCCATTGAACAGTGAGGGACTCGTAGTCCCAATACTCCTTCGGGCGGTTGACATTGACGTCGGGGTAGGCCCGCGCCTTTGACGGGGCGCCTGGACGCCGAATGGCTTTTCCGATCCTCTGCGACATGGTATCCGGCAGGCACACAGCTGAGGGGCGGCAGGCGCAGAATAATTCGGGCTCCTGCCGCGGAGGCGGTGGTTTCGGCCGTTACTTTTGTCAGTAGGGCTTAGTATGGTCTAGGTGCGGCGAAAAGCGGAGCTCCGGAGGTCGCGCTGTGAGGTAGAAAGGAGGCGGAGGAAGAGAGGTAGTGGCGCAGGCGATGAGTATGAAGGGCCCTACGGTCGTCAAAATTATATATATATATATATATATATATATATATATATATTGCTAGCTTAGCAATAAATTTTACCTAATAAATAAAATCTAATAAATTTTATCTATGTGGCAAATCATTAAATAAAACTTAATAAATAGAACCTAATAAATTTTATTTATGTGGCATTAATTCACCCAATCTCATTAATAATAAAATATTTCATTACACTTTTTTGGGTAAATTAAGACAAAAACCATTATACTTTATGTTAATTGAATAATAATTATATTTTTTGTTGAATCATATAATAGTTAATATTAAAATTAATAATTATATTTTATACTAAATAATATATGAAAGTTACATAAAATTATATTTTACAATAAAATCAATATTTTTTAATATGATGAAGCGATTGTTTATTAATAAATTAATTTTTGTATGTCATAGTAAAATTTCTTAAATCACATAAGCAACTGTTATAATAATTGGTCATGATAACTCAAAATTATAAAAAGTATATATTTATTACATTTTATGCAATCAATATAGGGATTCATATGCAATCAAATCGTATGTACTATTTATTTTAACCAATAATCAAATTTTAAAATATAATACTATTATCTAATGTATAATTTTAATATTATATACATAAATATAACTTATAATACTATATGTTTGAAATATAATATTATTATTTAACTTATAATTTTTATATTATATGCATACATATAACTTATAATATTTAATTTTATTTATATATGTGCAAATGCACAGGATCGAATCCTAGTGTGAATTCAATTCCTCCTGCATGCGACGTCGTTTTGTTTGAGGGTTAAGTAACCTAAGTTGATTGCAAATTGAAATCGTTCGGCTTTTGCTGTGGACCCTATCGCAGAAGAAGTATCTTGTGGATTTTTATTTTTATTTCTTTTTTTTTTCGGATTGAGAGATATCCCGGTTCTCCACATTCACTTCACGGCTTAACTATCCACTGCAGCCCACCAACTTACGGTACGAACCTATCACGTCTAGGGAATTCCTAGGCAATGAGTGGGGCTAATCCTCCCAGAGAGAGTGCAATGTCCTACTCACACTCTCTATGATAGTCAAGATTGATCTCGTAACTTCTGGCTTCAAAGAAAATTTCACCCTCCACCAGTCACCACTTGACCTCACGCTCTGGAGGCATCTTGTGGATTGTTTTATTATTTTATTTGAGAACTGAAATTTCGATTTTCCAAAAACCTATTTTTAGGAGTGATATTTATCATAATTCAGAAATTGGATTCTAAGATCATCTTTATCTTCAATCCACCTCAATCTAAAAATTAAAAATTATTTTTCTCCAATTTAATAATTAAAAGTTATTTCTCTCTCCTCCACCTGCATAATCCAACCTTATAATTCAATTTGTTTTTATCTTCAACCCAACTCAACCTAAATATTTATTTTATTTTAATTTTTTTATAAATTAGAATTGTGTTCCAAAACCTATCAAGTGTAGTCTTTATTTTTAGAAAATGAAAAAAAATACAAATTTTAGTATATGTTATTTTTTTAAACAAAAGAAAATATACTTGTCCAATAAGGATCGGTAAGTGCCCCAGAAGAAACCGAATGTAACTCAAGGTCACATTGTGACGTGTCACCAAATGTGATGGCCTTTTCCCTCTCATGACCCAACTCATAGGGTCAGGGATAAAAGTGGTTTAATGAGCGGCGTCAGCGTGAAAACAAAAGAAAGATGTAGAAAATTTAATGATGCACATAACACTTATTTCAAATCGACATTCTTATTCGTATGATGCATGAGTATTCAATAATTAAATTAAATATATTATTTAATTTTATTTTTACTTACTTATTTTGAATATTTATATTATTTAAAGTTTGAAAATTTTCACAGTTTACATCTATAGTATTTGGTGAACAACTAAGGGGTAGTTGGTAAACAATCATAACCAGTTAAAATCGATCAAAATTGGATCCTCGGTTAAAAATGAGTTATTTTGAATAAAATTGATAGAATGAGATGAGAGAGATTGTAATAAATAATATTTAAAATGTAGTTATTAAAATTGATGGGATGTAAAAGTATGAGAGAGATGATTGAAGCGATAGGTAATTAAAAATATGTGAGGTGATGAAGAGTGAATTAAAGTTGATGCGATGTAAAAGGGAGATGATTTATACTATTTAATTATACTGATAATATTGAGGATATTGAGATTGAGCTAAATTTGAGTTAAAGTGAGTAAAAAAAATTAATCCAATCAAAAATGATTTGGATCAGCTTTAACTTTTAACTCCTTGTCAATCACTCCCCAAATTAACTTACTCATTTCTTTAATTTGTAAGACCCTCTATCATGAATAATTTATTTTTCTTGTCACTTAAGTATTCAATGTAATGGTACATTAAACAACTCATTTTTATTAATTTTTTTTCATTTATATGTTACTTTGCATATGACTTAGAGCATTTTCAATGGTCCATACATTATTTTATTTCATTTCCACATGACGAAAAAATAGTTGTGTTGACAGCGGTCAATGGTAATAGATGGAATGCGGTTCCTGGCAGTTTTAACGAGTAATTAAAGTAACTGGGCAAACGGTCTAACAAAGATGAAACATTTTCATGAATAACTGAACGTTTAAACAAATCATATTAATTGTATATGGTAAGGGTTAAGCTCATTAACAAATCAATATAATAGCTAAGATAGATCGCCAAATAGTAAAAAGATATCGACAAACTGAATGGTTAAGGAAGAACACGTATATTTGAGATGAAATTATTTTAGTATGTTTTTTATAATTTTTCCATGAAAAATTTTAGAAGTGGTGAAGAACAAATTTATACATATATAAAGAAAGTAATGATGGTTGTATACGAACCAGGGGCGCGAATGAATGACACGTGTCTCCATGCAAAAACTTGACATTTAATGTGGGAGAGGTTGGGCAGCCGCTTTGCCGGTTCTTGTCCACACTCTACAGAGAGATCGGAAAATATGTATCATTGGGTAGATCGACGCTCTAGATTGGATGTAGATCGGCACAGGGCTGGTCATGCTGTTTCTGGGCTTCTCCTTTACGATATGAGCCTAATTTGACGATGAGCCTAATTTGACAAGGGTCCAATTTTCATTACGAATGAGACGTCTTGGGGGATAATAGATTGGCCTATTTAATGTATAACAAGGGGCCCCCCAGTTTTTCGGGTTGCATTGGGAATCGACAGATCGTCATGGGATCAGGAAGCTGTTTGTTAATCTTCTTGTCTCCGAAAGGATTTTTCCAAGTGCAAGATCGTAAAAAAAAGGCATTTCAAAATTTTGCAGAGAGAGAACAACATCGGTTATGTCCTTCGGTAGATGATAAGACATGCTAAAGTGCCTTTTTGGCTAAAGCATTTAGTGAAGAGAGAGAAGACAAGATGATTTGGGGTAGGCGCATATTTTCAGGAATGAAAGGATGTGTGTCAGTGCGAGAAGGTGGCAATTCATAGCTTTTTACGTTAATTGACGTGATCAGATTCCCGTTGGATTTCGTGACTTAAAATCAAGTAGTCGCAATGTTTTGAAGATCGAGATCACTTCTATAAATTGGGGATTGCATCTTATAAAAATCTTTCACTCTTTTTTGAATTCAAGTTTGTTTCGACAAAATACAAAGCCAGAGTACATTGTCCGATGAGACAACATATGTACTTGTTTTTTTCCTTTTCAAATCAAAGCGTTATGTCGGGGACTAGTGATTACGACATGGATTTGTTGAATGCTACTATGGACAACAGTCGTGTTAGCCAGGTAAGGAAGTTGATTGCCAGCATAAGTGATGTCAAGAAGATGCAAGCATGGATAGAAGAAGAGCAGGCGGAGCTGACGCTGGATGAGTATTAGAGACGACTGCTGGTAGAGGAGTCTGCAGAACTCGACGATATGGAAACTTTTCAGCAGGCAAGTACATTAAAGGACACCAATATAGTTCTATTGAGAGAGAAGTACGAGGTTACAACATCAGTCAAAATGTTTGTTCCATACGAGAAGGGGAGAGTTCACTATATGTGGTTGGGATGTGTCTCCGTGCACAAAGATCGATGCTTTCGGGTTTGAGGTTTCTCTACCCCAAGTGTTTTTGGAGTATCTTTGAGAGTGGGTGATTGGTGTAAGTCAGGTCCTCCAAATATCTGGTATTGCCTATGTTCCTTTATCGTCCTTTTCAAACAAAAGGGTTCGTTGGCATCGACTGTAGAAGAGTTAGATTCTATTCTGATGTGGAAGTAATTGAAGGGGAATGGGGATACTTTCATTTGGTGCTGTAAATGATAAATACACTAACTTGGTGAAGGATTTCCCCGAATATTGGCATAAGTGGAAATAAGAATGGTTCGGGGTTTCTTGGGAGGGGAAGACTCGTCGATCGCCACATGGTTCGGGACCCAACAATCCCTTATACGTGCCGATTGCCTTGGTAGAATGCTTAAGCTATTTATTACTCAACTTTCATAGAACTCTTGCTTGATCTAATTTCATTAATTTTTTTGTCTCTTAGATGCAGTTGAAAAGGTTACGACACTTGTTGGGGTAAGTTTGGAAAATAAGTTGGAGATCTTTTAGGATTGATGATACCCAAGATAAGTTGTCGATCCTCTATCGAGAGCAAGAATTTGACTTTTGTAGGATAACACTCGACTACCGATAATACGTCAATCTAACCAAGTATCCTTTTATTTTTATTAAAAGTGGCGATCTCCAATGATTTCATGTGATTAGAAAATGGTTCACTCGTCACTTGAATCAATTTTGATAACAATTTACCTGGCGATCTACAATGTTCTATATGGTAATACACGTGTTGGGTGCCTTTTCTACCGAAGAGTACAGAGGCATGGGCAGAATCAAAAAGTTGAGGAAGTAGAAGAAAAAGGGATTGACTACTCAGGGATCAGCGCCGTCAGAACAACCAGAAGCCAAGATAAGATCCCCTCAGGGGACTGGATATAGAAGGCTTAGGGTGAAACATCGATCGACAGGCACGGCTGGTGAGACCGCAACACCATCAAAAAGGTCGAAAAGAGAGTCTCCCCCTCGCGATTGTCTTTCTACTCTGTCTATTATTGAGGAGGAAGAGATCGATGAACAATTAGTTTGTCCGGTTAGAGGGAGGGAACAAATAGGGGAAAAATCTTTAACGTTGAGCAAAAAGTTGAACGTTTGAACCTGGTTGCTTTTTAAGTAGAGCCCATTTGACAAAAGCACACCCCTGTGGTGGAGGCTAATCATTTGGCTTTCCATCAGCCTAAGTTGATCCATATAGTTGAGGTCGAGCAATCGGCTCCTCAGGCACCAAAAGGCGCGGTGGTGGGCTATCTCTCGCGCAAGCCGAAAAAAGGAGAAGGTTACTAAGGTTTTGAAGGTTGCGGAGCGGACTGGTAGTGTAGGTTTGTTGGATCATTCAATCTAGAGATTCCAAATCCTCATGACGTGTCGAGACACATCTTGAACGCAACCCAAATTCCCAATGATGGTATGAAATTTGAAGATGGAGAAATTGGTCAAGCACGTGTTCATTTCAGAGAACCTCCAATGGGCGGCTGCTTTCATGGCAGTGGCAGTGGGGTCAATCATGCATGGAATCAATGAGGCGCTCCACCTAAAAGATCAGTTGGACGCGAATAAGGCCAACCAAATATGCAGAGATCATATGAAGGTGCTGAAGATGCAATTGGAAAGCATAAAAGATGAATATAAGAAGGTGTTCCACGATGTGAGGACTGCCACTGTAGAAGGGGCTCATTTGAAGGCCAACTCAGACGGGGCTCCTTACGAGAGTCAGCTAGCTACAATGGTCAAAGGGAGAGAGGATAAGATGCGGACCCATGCAGAAGCGGTTCAACATTGAACGAAGTCGTATCTAGTGTTGACCAGGAATTGGAGGGTGGGAAACACCCCAAGTGAATAATTCTGATGGTATCAAATGGTTTGGTTGTGTTCGACGTTTCACTGTTTGAGTGAATAATTTTTACGATCTCAAACGGTTTGGTTGTGTTTGATGTTTCACCATTTGAGTGATTAGGCTTGATCGTCGGGTAGAGCGCCATTTGTAAAAAATGTTCTTTCTCAAGGTGAGCTCAGTGCTTTTTAGAGAAGAATGTATTGCCCAATTGTCGATCTATTATATAAGTAGGGCGATGTAGGGAGACGAGCTAAAGTATTTGGAGGTCGAAAAATGAGCTTTGGCGGTGGTGATCACAGTCAAGAAGTTAAGGGTGTTTTTGTATATAAGTAAACTCAATCCACACTCAATTCATACTAAAAATCCAACTCAACTCACTATCCACATTGTTATCAATATAATTAAATAATATCAACCGATCATTCTTACACATCACATCAACTTTAATTCACTATTCATCCACTCACATAATTTTAACTAATCTTCACTTCATACCATCTCTCTCATACTTTTATATCAAATTAAGTTTAATTATTTTAATATAAAATCAAAACTCCACTAACAACTAACCATACCACATTTTTAAAAATTTATCCTTGTTAACTAAAAAAACTCATTTTAATCGAATATATTTGTATACAAACAGGCCAAAGTCCATATTTTCTAACTCATAAGGTGAATGTGAGGACAAATCTTCCTCTTGGAATACTCTTAGTCGACCATCTAGTTTGGACGAATGGTAAAATGAGCTATAGAGTTAAGAGAATACACGACCGAGTACGAGCCTCAGAGAGCAATTAAAGCCCAGGTTCTAGCAGATTTCATCTAGTAGGGCACAAGTGTCGAGCTTGAGGCTGAAGAAAAGTGGCAATTATTTGTGGAAGTATCAGTGTTGAAGGGAAGAGCTGGACTAGGCATTGTCTTGATTTCGCCTAAAAACGAAAAACTTGGATTATGTGACCAAATTTGGATTCCAGGTATCAAACAATGAGGCAAAATATGAAGTGTTATTAAAAGAACTGCAACTGGAAATTGACATTCATCATATTTTCATACATTATGAGTGATATATTGTGATATTTGGCCATGGTTATCGTGTGATTGTGCACCATTTTATTTTATTTATTAATCTATGATAGAGGTGCTTTTGTCATTAGTTTTGCCGGAAATATGCCCGGAAAAGCGTTGAAAATGGAATCGGGACGAAAATCGGCGAAAACGGGTGCAGAAGAGGTCACACGACTCGTGTGGGTAGTGACACGAGTCGTGTGGGTTGAGAAAATAAGAGACGCAGCTGCGGCTTTTTCACACGGGTCGTGTGGATGGTTACACGGGTCGTGTGACATCACACGACTCGTGTGACCCGGTCGTGTGACCAGTCGTGTGAGTCTGAAAGTTCGCCGAAATGTTGAGAAAAGTCACACGACTCGTGTGGCATGTGACACGACTCGTGTGACGCGCATACCAGATCTGCGGGGAGTAGGATTCTTGTGCGATTTCTTCCCTTTTTCGATCCTGAATGACCCTACAGTATAAAAGAGGCCTTAGGAACTCGTTTTTGGGACTTTTGACATCATTGGAGGCCTAGAGAAAGCACGAAACACACGAGGGATTCGAGGAAGTCAAGATTAAAGATTCGGGAACTAACGGCGACAATAGTTCTTCTTTCTTTTCTCTTTTCCTTCTTCATTGAACTCATGGATTTATTTATTTTGAGTTTTGAGAATATGTTTAGTAGCTAAACCTATTAGATTCTAGAATTGGTTAGTACTCGGATTAATTTATGATTTTGTTTTTATTTCTTTCATTCCGTTTTATCTTTCGTTTATGAATTTAATGTGCTTATTTTTATTGTGTGAGTAGATGGCCACTATGAAAGCATATTTGTAATCGATTTGAGACCGAGAGGAGATAATTGATTGCTAGAATTGGGAAATTTATAACGTAAGAGAATAAACAGACCGAGAGGTTGATAGGACCTTGCGAGAGAGCGAAAATCCTAGGAACTTATGGGAGTTAGTTGTTCATCTTGAGACCGAGGGGAGTTAGATAACAATTAATATCTATGATTTGACTTGTTCGAGAGAAAGGTTTGAAATCAATTTAGCGATTATCTCTACGATTGGTAAAATTAAATAAGGTTTGTTTGAATATAAACGTTTCATTAATTAATTCCGAGGAACGCTTAGCCTAGAATCTACCTTTTGTTTCTTTATTTATTTTTATTTGTTTAGATAAATTAGTTTTTAATTTAATTCTTAGTTTATAATCGTCATTCAATTCACTAGTCTAGATAATATTTAATCGTCGTTATTTTAGTACTTAATTAATTTAACTACAATCTCTGTGGAATACGACCTTGCTCGCCACTACCTATAGTTACACCGTACACTTGCGGTTAGCAAAAACTAATTAACGAACAGAAATCGCAGGAAGAGCTCGAGAAATTCAGGTCCACTCAGACTCTCAATTGGTCATGGGGTGATAGCAAGGCGGATTTGAGATCAAAGAATATAGACATAAAAAATATGTGGATAAAGTTCAAGAAATTCAAAGGGACTTCATTTCATCCGAGCTGTTGCAGATACTGAGAGGGAGAATGGTTGAGCTTACCTATTATCCAACATCGCACAAAACCTAGTCAACAGCAATAGTAGAAGTGTGATGTACTACACATGGGAAAAAATACAGTCATGGTGGCAGAGATTCAGGAGGTCTAGGATGGAGAGCTCTCATTCTACGAGAGCTCAAAGAGGAAAATTTGAAGTAGACGAAGAGATTTTTCGAGCTAGGTGGAACTTTGTATATGAGGTCGTTCACCGTACCCCATTTGCGATGTTTCATGGAGGTCGAAGGCAAGTACGTGGTAAAAGAGGTCCACAAAGGATGTTGTAGCGATCAAAGTAAGGTGGGGTCATTGATAGCAAAAATCTTGAGGGCAGGATACTTTTGGCCGAAGATGCGAGTAGACATTGTCACAATGGTGAAGAATTGTTTAAAGTGCCAGAAACATGGTCCACTTATACATCAGCCTGCTGAAGAGATGACCAAATAGAGTGCTCCTATTCCATGTGCACAGTGGGGCATCGACCTCGTGGGACCTATGCCACAAGGATCAGTTCAGAGGAAGTTATTGATTGTTGTTGTGGACTATTTTACAAAATGGGTGGAGTTCGAGCCATTAATCAAGATTATAGAGAACAAGGTCGTGTTGTTTTTTAAAAATAATATATATTGCCGATTTGGGGTGTCTAGTGTTTTGGTCTTTGCAACGGAACACAATTCAATGGAAAGCGGATTAGAGTCTGGTGTGAAGATATGAAGATCGGCCAACATTTTGCATCAGTTGCTCATCTGCAGGCAAACGGGCAAGTTGAAGTGACTAATAAGATTTTTTTGAGTAGCCTGAAACGATATAGGAAAAGGCCTCGGGGGCGTGGGTTGATGAACTAACATCTGTAATTTGGGCTTATCGAACGACCCTGAGGTTGACCACATGAGAAACCTCATTTAGCATGGCATACGACATGGATGCGTTGTTACCGGTCGAGATTGAGCTGGAGTCCCAGAGGTTATTGCATATTTCAAACAGAAAAACGAGGTGCTAGATCGAGTAACCCCAGACACAATTGAGGAGCTTAGAGATCAAGCGACGACTAGAGTTGCATCTTACAAACAACGGATGCGTATAACCTCCTGGTTTGGAAGAAAGTTGACATGTTGAAACATGTGGGCAGTCTAGAATCCAAGTGGAAAGGTCTTTATATGGTTGAAAGAGTGTATGCAGGAGGATCTTATTCTCTGAAAGACGTCCATGGAAGGCCCTTGCCTAGGTCATGGAATGTCATGAAATTTTAAAAATATTATGCTTGAATTTATTTCTTTTTACTCGATTAATTGGGACACTTGATGATGTTAATGAAGATGTTCATTATTACTCTCTTGTTATGTTCGACGTGTTGGCATTCACCTCAGTGGTAGGTCACCATTCGGTTTTACAAAATCCACCATGATCAAGACTTTCAGGTTGAATTGTCGCTTGTTTGAACGACCCCAGTAGCGGGTTGGGCAAGTGTCGAAGATAAAAATCCATCATGATTAAGCCCTTCGAGTTGGATGTTGATTTGTTTGAACGACTCCAGTGGTAGGTTTCGCAAGTGTTGAAGACAAAATCCACCATGATCAAGGCCTTCGGGTGGGTGGTCGCTTGTTTGAATGACCATAGTGGTGGGTTGGGCAAGTGTTAATAACAAAAATCCATCATGATTAAGACATTTGGGTTAGATGGTCGCTTGTTTGAACGACCCAAGTGGCGGCTTGAACAAGTGTCGAAGAATAAAATCCACCATGATCAAGGCCTTTGGGCTGTGTGGTCGCTTGTTTGAACGACCCAAGTGGTGGGTTGGGCAAGTGTCCAGGACAAAAATCCACTATGACTAAGGCTTTTGGGCTGGATCCTCGATCATAATGTGGGTTCGTGGAAGACTTGGATGCTAAAAGGCCAAAATCCACCTTGATTAAGACCTTCGGGTTGGGTGGTCGCTTCTTTGAATGATCCCAGTGGCGGGTTGGGCAAGTGTCGATGATAAAAATCCACCATGACGAAGGCCCTCGGGTTGGGTGGTCGATCTCAAAGATGGGAGATGCGCAGACTGATGACCAACCAATACATTGCAAAAGAGAAAAATGCTACAACCACATAAAAAATACCAAAACCGATGACCTCGGTGGACAACCCAATTCACTTAACACAAACAATGAATTCAACACAAATAGTGAATTAATATCCAAGTATGAACTAAGTATGGGTGAATCCAAAACTGACTTTATCGTTAAAATTGCAAAATTTTTCCTGGTATGGTGTTAATGTTGGAGACCTCAGTGGAAGGTTGAGTATTTAAGATTAATTATACTCAAAGTTTTCTACGTTGAAATAATTCGAAGAC